CCCCCCCCTTACTATCACTTTTCTCTTATGAATCTATTTAAAATTGCCACAAAGTAATAAGCGAAAAGTGGGAAAGATGCACTGATAGTGATATTTCAAGGGTTAGGGTGAGATTGAAAATAGTTCAAGAGGTAAGTATGGACAAATTTAATAGTTTAGTTGGGGCAAGATGAGACCAAAAACAGTTAGGGGGTAAAAAGGGACGAATTCAATAGTTTAGGGGAGAAGGACTGAACCTATAATCTGTAGACTCTGAATTTATTTTTCTTTTAGTGATATTCAGTGTTGATTTTAATTACTAATAACACAGGCAACTAAGGTGTCAACACAAGCCACTAAGGTCACAAACAAGGTTCGTTCCCGAATAAGGACATATGAGAATATGGATCGTGAAGGTGGAAGTGGAGAAAGCCAATATTCTGACCATGAAACAGCATCGGAGCAGAAGGAGGATGGTATGTCAAGTGGAGCTAGCACACCTCGAGGGGACATACCGCCTTCTTCCTTCGGTGGAGTATCTTCAACATCCAATGAGGAAAGATCTCCAGGGAAAACAAGCAAAGCTAATGAGGACACTGAAGGAAAAGCAGGAATTCACAAGATCATAGGCTCAAAAGCCGAGGCTTGGATGGCAAAGAAAGGGTTATCATGGCCATGGAAAGGTAACGAGCAAGATGGTCCTGATTCAAGTAATCGGTTTGGTTGGTCATGGTTACATGGAGATCAAGAAAGCGATGCGAGTCAACCAAGGGACTCTGAAACATGCAGTAAGCCTGAAAGCCAGGTGAATGAAAACAACCGGGCTGGAAATAATGAGGCTTCAGGATCTTGGTCCTCTTATAATGCAAACAGCGCAAGTAGTGTCAGTAGTAGCGGAAGCACCACTAGCAGCAGTGCTATTCATAAAGTGGATGTTGAGACTGACTGCCTAGACTATGAGATATTATGGGAAGACCTTACTATTGGAGAGCAGATAGGTCAAGGTAGTATTCTTTTCGTCGAATTAATTTATTAATATTATTTCTTTCTTACCTTGGTATATATGCAATAAATTCAACAATTGACTGTCATTTAAAAAAATGTCTACTCCTGATTATTGCTCTTCAGTTAGGGTTGTTTGTGCTTCATTTCAGCCTAGGGACAAAGGTGACATACGTGCAAAACAATAAAAAACAACAAAAATATTTGCATGCTTGTAATCGATCCTTACTTGTGTCCTTGCAGACGTTAGTATAGTGTCTTCTAGTGGTTGTGACCATGTTCAAATCTCCGTCTTCACCTTCTATGGCTAATATGCCCCATTTCCCCCTGAAATTTGTTCTTCCAATGTGATTTTCTCCTTTGGAATGTCGTCAGGTTTGCTATAGTAGCACCAGTCTTCACTTTTTAGATACATAATAGCATATGATCAGTAGATCCATGTTATTTCCTAAATTTAGTCATACGACCCTATTTTTAGATGAAAATCTTTCCTGTCCGATTCACTACTGCCTTGCATCCAACATCTGTCCTTCTATCATTTAACAATGAAGTTAACCTAAGTCAGATCCATCTTTTGCTCAATCTGGAGATTTAATTGGTCATATTCCCCTCGATATTTTTTGATCTTTTTAAAAATTCATTAACAAAATCATGTTTGCTATTAGCTTGCTTGCTACGATACTTTCACTATGTGCATATGATTAGTCATTACCCTTCAAATTTCTCCTCCTATCGGTGCTGCTGTGATGAAGTGCTAAAACTTTTATTCCTTTAGAACATTCTTTGCTTTAAAAGAGCTAGATAGGATACTCACTTAGAGAGACTTAACAATGATGTGTTTTCCGAAGTGGATCTACAACTCAGTCCTGCTTGGTAGATTAGTTTCTGAAAGAGGACAGAGTTATTAATATAACTGAATGGTAAGAAGGTTCATCCAACCCTGTTCAATATTTGGATAAGCACATAGGATTTGATGGATCATTTAGATTAACTGATTCGCTGATGGTAAACTAATACTTACGAGCTGGAAAAAAAGGAAAGAAAGAAGGAAAGAGAAAATAAAGAAAAGCGAAAAGAAGGTTCATCCAACCCTCTCAAATATTTCGATAAACACATAGGATTTGATGGATCATTTAGGTTAACTGATTTGCTGGTGGTAAACTAATACTTATGAGCTGCTGATGGCATGCTGGAAAAAAAGGAAAGAAAGAAGGAAAGAGAAGATAAAGAAAATAGAAAAGAAATAAAATAAAGAAAAGAGATAAAAAAAAAATTATGAGTTGATATAGCTGTACTGTTTTTTAAAAAAGTTGACTTTGTTCACATTTTGTCTCTTAATGTTCATACACTTGTTTTTCACATTGATATTTATTTTACTCAGATGGAGTTTCCTTTTGTCTGTGCAGGTTCTTGTGGAACTGTATATCATGCTTTGTGGTATGGCTCGGTATGTTGAATTCCATTGCTTCTCTCCATTGCCAAAGTATCAAGCTTCGCTTGAGAAGTCTCTCAATATTCATTATAAAGATTTTCTTCTGCATGATTATGCTATGCAGTGTTAGAGTGCTTATAAAACGAGAGGCCTTTTCATATCAATAAGGAACAAATGAAGCTAGATTTAGAATCATTCTGTCCAAAAATATTAGAATTTTAGACTGCTATTATCAATATCATACATAAAGTATCCGTTCAGATCTTGTTTATTCGCACTCAAGTGATGCAAATTCTGTGGTAGTCGGTGTCAAAATTTGATATCGAAGCAACTATGAGTAGGGGACAACCTTGTTATAAGTTATAATTAGTTCTTGCTGGGTTGAATATTTGCATCATGATCCCCTTCCATTGAAGCTTGACATGAATTTGATACAATGAGTTTGATAGATTGGAATATTCTTCTATTATGAGCTGACCTCTTTTTATCCTCAAGCAGGATGTCGCTGTTAAGGTATTCTCGAAGCAGGAATATTCAGATGATGTCATACTTTCCTTTAGGCAAGAGGTAACTTGCAAATCTAAAGTTGCAATTATTGTTTACATTATAATGTTGTGTTACTGGTAATAAAGATGCACCATCACACCATATGTAGGAAAAAAGCTATATGCTGTCACATCATAAGTTCAATAATTGATGTTTGGCCATATTATATGGTCTTTGAACATGGATATAGCTGTTGTAGTTAATGCATTTAAGAACTTGTAGCTACTTCTCCCTGAACACTAATTAGGTGCTGTTTGGGTTTGGGTTTGGGTACCATACTCTTTACATTAATATGGATATCAGTTTATGACTGAATAGCATTTTACACTTCCAGCAACCTTGTTGCAATTACCCTGCATAACTGTTCGAGTTCAAAACCATTTCCTCAAGGGGACATCTGCTGAAGTTGAACTTATGTCTGACAAATGTTTATATGTTGAAATGACGGGCTTTCATGGAAGTGATGTCAGCAGGATATCTTGTTAAGTTGAGGAAACTATTTTTATTTTGCTGATCTAATACATGCACAGAGTCACTTGCTTCTCTTGATTTACTTGTTTCTCTGATTTTTCCTACTATTGGTATTGTTAATAAGAAACATATCTGTCTGGTATCTAGTTAAGTTGAGGCAACTGATTCTATTCTGAATTATTATGTTTCATGTAATGCCTGTCGCAGATATTTTAGGTTACGACGATTCACAGTATGTGACGTGTTACTAGTAAAAAAAATGTCAGTCCTCGCTTAGTACGATGATGCAGAAACAAGTTGCTGCAGAAGTTGTCCGAAATTCAAAAGACAATAGCGATCCTCTATTTAATACTAGATAGATCTTTGATCAGCTATTGGCGATTACTCTCATGATTAATATGATATTATGGAATATGTTATGCCTTGCTGTATGTACTGCATAGCTAAGAATTCTTGTTTGTGCAGGTATCTCTTATGAAGAGGCTACGACATCCAAATATACTACTTTTCATGGGTGCAGTTACTACTACTCAACGTCTTTGCATTGTGACTGAGTTTCTCCCACGGTTTGTTCTGCCCCTTCAAATCACAATGATTTAAAAAAAAATTATGTGTACAATTTATTGTAACAAACATAATTTGTTACTTAAAGACCAATAAAGATCAAATGATGAATTAAAATCAATTGCATGATTGCTAAGACTAGAAATGTTGATTGAAATGACAGACATTACTATTAATCCTTTTTCTGAAACCCAAAGCAAGTTAAAATCAGGCCAAGGAAATTTCCATTGTAAATGACTGCAAACAGCAGTTAGACATGTATATTTCTGAGAAACTATCTGTCAATATGATCTTCTTTTTGTTCCTAAGTTATTGTGGTTGAATTAGTTACCACTGCTACCTTTCCTCTTTATATGATATACTTATCCATATGGCAGTGGGAGTCTGTTTCGGTTGCTTCAAAGAAACACAACCAAATTTGATTGGAGAAGGCGTGTTCATATGGCTTTAGATATCGTGAGTATATATCAGAGCAAACTTGGTTATATCTATATTTTTCCATGATGCGACATACTAAAATCTGGAGTGATTTTTGTTACATAATTTCTTGTTTGGCCTATTCCTTAAACAATGTTCTTTGTCACAGGCAAGGGGCGTGAATTATCTTCATCATTGCAATCCACCCATCATTCATCGTGATTTGAAGTCATCCAATTTGTTAGTAGACAAGAACTGGACTGTGAAGGTATGTTTTAAAATATTGCAATATTTGACCTCGTTGCCTGGATATGCTGACATTATTCCATCTTATACTTTTTTCCCGGTTAACAGGTTGGAGACTTTGGTCTTTCCCGTCTAAAACATGAAACTTATCTAACAACAAAAACTGGGAAAGGAACGGTAATCTTTTAAACCGTTGACTTACCTGTTATAGATTATTCATGTGAAAATGTGTGAGATTTCAGAATATTGTATTTATCAGTTGATGCTAATAATCTATTTTTCATCTTTTCTAGCCTCAATGGATGGCACCAGAAGTTCTTCGCAATGAGCCTTCAGATGAGAAGTAAGTTCTATCTTCTTGTTTTGGTAGACTTATCACAGTTTTTGTTTGTTATTACTTTGTGGAAGTTGAGTAAGAGATGCCAAATACTGAACTTGTGTTTGCTGATAATAGGTCTGATGTGTATAGCTATGGAGTAATACTATGGGAACTTGTCACTGAGAAGATTCCTTGGGATAATCTCAACTCAATGCAGGTAATATATTTTTTCATTTTCTCAAATTTCTTTCTTGGGTATTTTGGATTTTGTAAGGCCTAACCATGTTTCTTTATGTCAAA